TTTTGTGAAGAGGTGGGAACTTGCGCAGAGGAATATAGCTGAGAAGGGGCGTTTTGGAAAGGCCGGAGCTGAACATTTGAAGGAGGTTGAGGAATTGGCCAAGCAGCACACCATTCATTGTATAAGCCGTATGGACCCCGCAGCCATATCTTTAGTGTACGCAGGGCAAGGGTGGCACAAGCTTGGGTGGCGAACGTTATGGTGGACGAAACTACCGAGTTAATCTTGAAAAGGTAGAGTGCAGTTGCAACGTCCCTCAGATCATGCTTGCCCCTTGCTCTCATATGATCACGGCCTGCAGGGTTCGCGGGTACAACTATGAGGATCTGCCATATATGTCACCCTTGTATCTCCGTTCGAACACCGTTAGTATTTGGGAGATAAGCTTTGAGCCATACCTTGACCCGACACAGTGGCCACCTTATAATGGTTATGACTACGTGTCACATCTGGATCTAATGAAGGTAGGGAAGGGTAGGAGATATAAGAAGCGACTCAAGGGGACATGGACGCTATGAGAGGGTACGGTGAAGACATATACGGTGGGGGAGACTTCAACGAGACCCGTGGCAGGAATCTTTGCTCCGTTTGTAAACAATCTGGTCACAAGGCTAGCAGGCATAGAAGACGAGGGCAGCAGGTGATTTCATATTGTGTTCGTATTGCATAACAAGTAGTTCAAATTTTGCAATGCTACGTAATGTTAATCTGAATATTGTTAATTTGAATATTGTAACCCTTTGTTTATCAATTTGTAACAGGATGGCCCCTCCCACGCCGCACCAACTATACCCCTTTCTTGAGGTGGAGTACGACGACCCCCTTCTTCCACCGGACGATGAGGTTTCCAAGAGGCGTTCGAGGGATCCTTACATTACTAGGACTTAGTTCATTACGTCGAACTTATGTCGAATGAATATTGTCGTCGAAAACTTGCAGACTCATAAACCAATGAAAATATTATGTGGCAACTTGTCGGCCATTTATTTGCTTCATATTTGTTTCAACTTGCGCACGGTCACGGCAGCACATGAAGTTTTTTACAGCACCGACAACAACTCGATTGAGGTTGGTCGTTGTCTGGCCGCGTCACTGCCGCGCCGTGGTATATGGCGTGGCACTGATGCGCCGTGGACTATGGCACGGTAGAGCCTGGGCTATGGCGCGGCTCAACTAGTGTGCTACAGCGCTATATTCGAGATAATTTAACGCGATTACCTTCGTTTTAGAAATTCTCAACGCATGATACAAACAGATGTGATCACTTAAGATCAATCATGGGTAATCCGAGTACATGATACATGGGTACAATACATCTGTAGTTCAAATGGAATATAAGACAACACAATGGAATTTTTACTACATAACTACATTGATCATTAATAAAGCATGGAACTAACAGACGGCACAATCAAAAACCCCCAGCCAAAAAAATACTGAGTAAGCAACTCATCGTCCGAGTACCAATCCTCAACCACAACCCTGTTGCTGTGGCTAGGGTCACCTGCATTGCCATGATCTGCCTTTCGCCTGTAGTAAGCGGCCTCCGCTTCATCTGTGGCCTCTGCGGCCTGAGTGAAGAACACATCATCATCCTCCTCCGTCTGTAAGCCCGCCTCTGCTAGAGCGATGAGCTCGCTCAGTCTACCTGTGTCATCTTTAGACTCCTCCGCCTGCAAGCCCATCTCTGCTAGAGCGATGAGCTCGCTGAGTCTGGCAGTGTCGTCCTCATCCTCGTCCCCCTCATCAGACAACACAATCGGTGATTCAACGGTGCGACCAGCTCGCTTTCTGTGCTCATCTAACTTCTTTTCCTCGTACCTTGCACGAGTCACCTCTGTAGCATGTTTCTCGCTGCATCCAATCCCTTCATGTATAAAATGCAATCAGTTAGCAACGTGATTATATTACATTTAAAATCAGGCAACGAAAAAAAGGCTTTCGAGCACTCACTGGCACATAATGAAACAACATGCTCGTTCAAGACCTGCATATGTACTCTTGTCTTCTCCCTTGCCTCCTTCCTTGTCCTCTCCTCTAACGTCATCTGTCTCTCCAATCCCCATTTGTCAAGCCCAATGTCGATTGGGTTACAAATATTGTGCTGTCTAGCAAACTCACGCATCTTGTCTTTGTGATGTTTAACAAAAAGGTTGACGTAGTCAGGTCCATATCCCCTCTTCCATGCAATTACTTGCTTCCCCTTCAGTTCATCCAAGAACTTAGCTTAACTATCATAACATTCCCACCTGCATTTCCTAGTGCTCTGTTCAAACGAAAAATTATATCATATATGTCTTAGCAAAAAAAAAAACAAAATACGATTTCATGGTTACCAAAAAATAACCAACCTCATCATAGTCAATCATATGGCCGCAATAATGGCCTATTCCAAGCTCCGAAGTGACTAGACCGTAGTTGGATTTAACACCACATTCGCACTTGACTGGCGGTGCTTTGTAAATTAACCTTTCTTTCTTCTTTTGCTTTGCCTTTGAAGGTTCTTCGGGCCATTTGTTCTTAGGACCATACAACCACTCCTTGAAACGACACTTCGCCATTGAATATACCTAAATAACGTGACATTAGTACATGACACATATAGCTCAACATTTCAACACATACACTTTGCACTTACTTCATGCTTGTTTGGACACACAAACTCCAACGTATTGTCAGGGTTTATCATGGCTCGGTCTCCGCAATGGCACAAAGGAGGTTCCTCGAGTCGTCTAACTGCGGCTAAGTGCTTCTCCTTAGCCGTCATTGGAGGGAGGTTAGGGGGAGGTGGAACCCACCGCTCGAAGTGCTCTCGTGGATGTCGTCCTCTCCACCAATCGTCGAAAATGAGGTACTTGGGGTCAAACTTGTTTGCACCGTCGATCCACTGAAAGAAAAAGCACCTCTCATGGGCCTACACAACAAAAATTCAACAAAATATTAGTAACCTAGTAATACAAATGAAGAAGAAAAATATATGGAATAATTACTTACATTAAAACGACTACACGTGTAGAAGCAACGAGCCGCTGTGTCCGGATGTCTCGATTGAAACACGTCGACCGGACGACCACAGTCACAGTTAGGGACAGGGAATTCAGGAGGGACGGGGGCATCTTTGCTAGACTCGTCGGGGCACAATTCTGTAGGACGACTCCGTTTTCGTCATAACTGCTCCCGAAACATGTCTTCCATCTAATAAAACGGTTCAAATTAATCATCAATCAAAACAACACAAATTAATGTAAAAAATATAATCATTTGCAATGCAACTAAAATAATATAACCGACAATTATAACAACAAAAATATACATGGTAAACATACTTCTAACTAAATAATTAACCTTAACATTGACAAAATCAAACTAATATCTTCCTTCAAACCGTAGACCATAGTTCCCAAACATAATTTTTCTCCTAAACTTAGCTCCCATTCAGAATATACTATCCACCATTCAAATGAAAATAAAATCTGCGTCATTACCTTGCACGAGGACGAGGAGGGAGGGAGGTGGCCGGGGAATAGAAGGGAAGGGAGGGAGGCGGCAATGGAGGGCCGGGCGGGGGCCGGGCTGCCGGCGTTCGTGGCGTGGCGGCGGCGTGCGTGCTCGGCGGGTGTGGTCAAGACCTGGTGACACGGTGACCAAGCGGCCTTGTGTTGCTTTCGAACAGCATGGCAACCTGCTTTCGACCAACTGGCGGACGCGGGCCAAAAGTGTTAGTTTAAAAAAACCCGACCGTGTTATATTTAAAATTAGTTTCCAAAAAGTATTAAAATTTAAAAAAATCGCCTTTGCCTGGCCCTACACGCAGCGGCTGACGGTGCGAAAGCAGGAATAGATCAGCATGCCTGACGAAGCTGCCAGGTGCTCGATTCATCTTCTGCCTTGGATCCAGAATCGACCTACCCATCGCGTCGGAACACTGCCGGGTCCGGAACCGCTCTGTAATTTGTCCTACCATAGAAAAAAATTGTTTTATATGATATGTGATCTATGATCTGTGGATCTGTGATTTTGTGACTGTCTGAAGGTAGAAGAAGGCTAGAGGTAGAAGAAGGGTGGAGGCTATTGGATCTTAATCCTATGGTGCAAAAAATTCATGTGTTAGAATTACATAAAACACATGGTTGTGCATTAGATGAACTCACCTATACTTTTTGTTGTCTTATTAATAACTAGTATAGTGCTCGTGCTAACGCTACGGCTTTATTCTAGGAATCACATGAAAATAACCAAACAACGAAATTTTTTGATAGTTTAAGTCACACGCAATGGTACATAACGATGTATTTATCTGGAAAACATGCATGCATAACAAGGCATAATAAAGTCATGTCTAACATATCTATCCTACTAATTTATGAGTTTAAGTAGATCTTGCAGTTCCCCAGGGATGTCATATGTACATTCATTTGCGCTGCTCTTCAAAATGTCAACTAAAAATTCCGTCCTCAGTGAATCTGACCTCTGCGAATGATATAGATAACATATAATAAGTTAACTTACTGATTTGGTAGATAACATATAAAATATACATAGAAATATTTTACGCTTACTTGTAGACAAGGAAGCCTGCCAATTTCCTGGAGAAGAAGAGCCCAAGTGTTTATTTGTTGTAGTTAAATCAAATCACTATTTATTTGATGGTAAGATAAGATAAACACAATATAAGTTGTTACCAGTCCATAGCTTTTGGAAGATATAGTTTTAATTGACGACGCCAGAGGTAAACATTCTCTTTCCATGCAGGATTGACCAATGTCATGGAGAAACTGAAATAATTCAAAACTATCTCTAATATACCATTATATGGCATGATTGGATCTAGACCCGAGTACCATAGTTTTGGAGAATGCGGATCTAGAATGTGCACAATTTTGTTACCCATGTCAAATATGAATAAAATATAGTTCCTATCTCGAAAATATGGCAATAGAATCTGTAAACAAACAAAAAAACCATAAGTGCAATACAAAATATAATTTTTCAAAGGAGTTTTATAAGTACAACATACCATGCACTCGAAATGTATAAACACCGGTCCGTGCTGGACTTTTATATCTGTTGTCAGTGGTAACCCCTAGACTTGCAAAGGCGAAATGTGAGTTGATATAACGTATATGTTTCCTGAAATATTTTGCATCATCGTGCACTTGACTTGTGAACAACCTTTTGAGCTCTGCAGGAACATCTGGTATATGTATCTGTACTTTTCCTTTTCTACAACAAAACCCGGGTGTCTCACCCTGAAACCTCATCGCACCATAGTAACTGCAGTCAGGGACCTTTCTCAATTTATGTCGTTCTGGCAGGTTCTGGTAGATGTAGTCATATGGATCGTCATGTGTCACACTGTTTGCAGCTGGACCCTCTGGAGGCATGCGATATGACTCATAATCATGACCTGTGTGGACATTGTAGTAATTACTTTCACTTAATATATAAATATTTGGTAAAATGAAGCTGCATTTATAACCAGTAGGGATAGATGTTGTCGTAGTACCTTGCGCACGTCGGTGAATGACCCCATCATCATCGTATAAGTTTTCATTGTGCAATCCATGGCCACCGTCCATGGCATCTTCATCACTGTCCCAACCATCATGCGCTGGTTCAAATAGTTCATGGTCGAATTCTTCTTCATTGGATTGGACATGTACATGGTTGTTGCGTAGCTCAGGTATTTGTCTTTCTGCATAGTAGATATTTAATATTTTTATTTTAATATTAAGTAATATAAGCAAAGTAGGAAATAAAATATATAATAGCAAAAAATGTTGTGGCTGATGACCGGACTGCCCTCATAGGAAGTAGGTGGGGCTCTCTGCTACTGGAACATAATTATCATTTCGTGTAACCAATCCATAGGCTCGCTTAACTCATTTGGTTTCCATTATTGTCGCTAATCCAGCGCTCAAATTCGCACCTTGAGATATGAATATAAACAAAGGTTCATGATATATCAAGTGGTGGATGAAATCCTTATGGTCTCGGATATTACTAACCCGCCAAATGAGGACGATGGCACTATTTGGTTGATAGCATTTGGTGTGTTGTTATTTTGCAATTGAGCCTTTCTGCCGTGCTCGATATTGACGTTGGTACTCACGTTGTCTCCTTTATTCTCTTCTCTCCGCTCATCGGTCATCTCGCTCTTCTCATTCGTTGTTGCGCGTTCCTTTCGCCCATCGTATGGTTACTAATATCTGCGAGGTCACGTTTGTGAGATTACAAAATTAAATAATGAGACTCTTTCACATAATAAACACGTATCCAATCTTTACCGCTAGCCACTGATAGAGCAGTGCCTATTGCCGTTGAGGTGCCAATGCCACCATGGCTATGATTCCCATGTGCGGTTGGTTGGATATTTTCCTTGTCCAGTATAATTGGCGAGTTTTGGTCTATCTGAGAACGATTAGTACCTGCATTTTTTTGGTCCATCTCATAACGTTGGTTTGAGTATATTAAGAGCCTGAGTAATAATAAACTAAGCAAAGAAAAATTATACCGGGTGCAGTCAAAACACAAGAAGCGCTATTGTTTTGGGACTCGGCCTTCTTCCGTTCTTGGTAGTGACGTTGGTACTCACATTGTTTCCTCCTCATCTCCTCCCTTTGTTCGTCGGTCATTTCAGCTCGCCGAATTCGTTGCTGCAAGTTCCTTTGTTCCCTAGTCCGCCGGCCCTCATCTATATGGTCACAGCACAGGAAATCAATTAGCCAACCTAAAGTTATATATTACTCCATCGGTCTCTGTAAAAATCAATTTTTAGAGTTATTGTAAGTCAAACTTTTTAAACTCTGATCGAATGTCTAGAAAAGAGCATTAAGATTTATGGTACCAAATTAATACCAAATTAATACAATGTAAAATCATACCTGTGATGTTGGTGATGTCGCTTAGTGGATCGTGTGTATCTCTCGACGTAGACATTTAGTTAATGTATCACAAGCAGTCTGTGATCACGCAGGACCTTTGATTTTTATTTATAGTACCTATTACAAATGGATAGTCAATGTCAGCACAAAATCTCAGAAAACTAGAAATCAATTGTTCTCAAATTATTTGTGACCAATCCATCAACAAATGTGATAGGCGACAGCAAGATTTCTGATAGTATCGCAAGGAAGCCAGTAAACTTTAGCAGCACAGTGCCATGCACCAGTCCATGCACGCACACACGCATGTTCACCTGGCTGGCACCAGTACGCACACACGCACGCTCACCTGGCGATGGAGACGGTCCACGGCGTGATGAGCTGCTCCTCGGTGCTGCTGTCCTCGCCGTATGTAGGTGTCTTCGACGGTCGCCGGGCTGTGAGCGGCGTTCGTCGTGGGCACCGTGACCTTGTCGACTGGAGAAGTGCCCTCGCGAACGGACTGCAGCCTCTTGCTGACGCTTGATCTGAATGCCAGGCTCGGCAAGTCTCGCCGCGGCATTCGCGGCACTGGTTCTGTGTCCTGGTCGCCGCGTACGCCGTCGTCGTCTGCCGTCGTTTGCATGTTTGATGGAGCTGTGCCGTCCGGTCGCCGCCGTTTGCAGGATGCCGGTGCCACGTACGCGCGTACGCGGCCCTAGCACGGCGTCCAGGGCTCGAAGCAGTAGTCGCAGTGCAGTCCGTCGGCGGCGGCGGCCAAGTGAGTCAGCAGGAGGCGGCGACCATCAATAGGTCGGCGATGGTGGCGAGATTCGTCCGGAGTCTAGCGTCAACAGGAGGATGCTGCGGTGCGGAGGTTGTCATGCCTTTTTTTCCCGGACTTTCTTTTTTGATGGTTGAATGATCGGTGATTGGATCCTAATTGCCGAGAGCTACGAGGATGCGGGCGGGGAGAGTGCGGAGGTGAGGGGGTGTGAGAAGCCTCCATCAAACATCGTTTTTGGTCTTTTGGATTTGACGTAGATCTATTATGAACCCTTTGATTTTGATAGAGATAAGTTTTCAATTATAGTGGAGACTATGTGAGTCTCTTAATACGGCGGTGTAAAGCTATGGCAGGTCAAGGTTCCGCAAAGGTGGATCTCTCTCTTTAAGGAACAAGTCAACGAAGATTCTGTGTACTACATCAAGTAATTTCAGATCTGTAATGGTCGGCCCACATATCGACCAGTAGATCATCCATATATGATGCCATTTACTGCTCATACAAGAGTACATGAGGTGAGGTTGATGCCAGATACATTTCCAAATTCCAATGTACGCCTGCAGACCAGTTGGGTTGATGTGCTTCACACCCGGATTAATAAAACTGAATATACCTAAGGTAATATGCCTTACAAACCCTGTTTTCATATGCCCTTCTGCATAGTTCTTACACCTATTATATTAATTCTTCTATGTAGATACTCTTGGAATTCTGGCAGGTTCCTCACACATTAAGAAGCAGAATACTAGCAAAGGCATAAAACCACTACACAATGTATACATAATTGATGAAAAGTATGTATCCTTTGTAAAGCACCTCATGTCCTTCCTACTAAGTTCAAAGATCCTTTGTATGCCAGTCTAATGTTTCTAAATATAATGTAGAGAGAAAAAGGCAGTGGTTCCTCTGTGGGATCAACTGTCTCATGCCTTCGATGTTGAGAAATATACATGCAGATGGCATCTAAAGGGCTAGTTGTCATCCTTTTTGCTGGAATGACAGCTAAACTATTTGAAGGTGTGCTATGTTATGCCTCTTGAATCTTTCCTATGCACAGCCTATTCTTTTTAGGGATTTCAGTCATTATTCACTTCCCCATATTGTTGACTGTAGGTAACCTCTCGCTGCAAGGTTCCTTCGTATGCAGGTTTTATGTAAACTCCATGCTTCCAGAGGTTCTGGCATTGCAGAATAGGTGTGTATCAATGTCAACTATGTTTCCCTCTGCATGGCCATATACAGTTCCATGCTGTTACTGCTCTGATCGATGCCCCTAAACTTTGAAAGTGATATAGCTTCACATACCTAGGATAGTATTGCAGATATACATGTTATTATATACTACCTCCGTCCCCAAAAGAATGCAATTCTAGCACTGTGTCACGTTTTAGTACCTTAAGTTTGACCAATTATAAATAAAAAGTATCCATCTTTATGATACCAAATAAATACCATCAGATTAATTATGAAATGTATTTTTATAATAAATTAATTTAAAGACATAACTGTGAATATTATTCACTAAAAACTTGGTCAAACGTGATCGACTTTTCACGGCACGCAACCTATAGTTGCGTTCTTTTCAGGACGGAGATAGTAATTATATTGTTGAGCATGCTCCCTCTGCAACACCTTTGGTTCTATAAACATGCCCACATGGCATGGTCCAGCACCATCTCAGATTGAACCAACGACGGTCACGGTTGCTGAACTCGCTAAATTCAATAACCCACGCCTTATCTATGTACTTCCTCCGTTCTAAATTATAGTTCGTTTAACTTTTTTGACTTCAAGTTTGACCACTCGTTTTATTCAAAAAATTCGTGCCAACATAATCAAATTTAAGTCATTCTTGAAGAATTTTTGTTAATAAAGCAAGCCGCAACAAAAGAAATGATATTTTGCATAAATTTTTGAATAAAATGAGTGGTCAAATTTGAGGTCAAAAGAGTCAAACGAACTATAATTTGGAACATATTTAGTATATGTTTGGAATAAAAACCTATCAAGTTTTTGTATTAATCAAACATGGTGGTACTTGGCTTGCACTGTCACTGGGTGTAAGAAAACAGTAAAGTCACTTCCCGTGGATGGGTACAAATGCACTGGCTCCACATGTACAGGCACAAATGGGAATCAAAGGTACAACACTATAGCCTACCATGCATGCTGAATTTTATGTTACTAGGTGCTTACTGCTTTATTGTGATTTCTGTAAAAAGGGCATACCTAGTGCGGAGAGCTCCCGCTCTGTGCGGGATCTGGAGAAGGGTGTTAGTGGCAAGTTTTACCCTCGCCTGTGCAATGCGAGGAGACCGCGACTCGAACCCGGGACCTTCCGGTCACAGGCGGTAAGACTCTACCGCTTGTACCAGGCCCGCCCTTCTTTGTGATTTCTATAATAGAAGTAAAAATATATTCCTTACATTATATAGGCTGCCTAACACAACCCTCCTCCTTTACGAGGGCTCGTGACCTGCTATGGTAGGACACCAAAGACGCCCCACCATAGGCGGAGTTAAAAGGAACCTAAAAGAATGCCTACCCTAACTTGCTTGGGACTGAAAGGCTATGTTGTTGTTGTTGTTGTATATAGGCTGCAAAATTGTCCTACACAGAAGATATTGTGATTTGTATAATAGAAGAAAGAGTGCATTACTAAAATTATATAAACTACGAAAATGTCCTGCACAAAAGATGCCATCATGTCCCTATTTTTTACTTAAACAGGGGAGCACGGTTCTAGTTATGATGGCAACTTATATCCGATTCTATGTCCCGGTAGGTATCGGCTTGCTATTCTGGTGAGTGATCCCATTGACCCACCAAATGGAGATGAACCACCAACAGTAGAAATGGTCCTGTTTGGAACAACAGCTGAGGAAAATGCACTTATAAATGCTGGTAGTGCTTTTCGCGCCTTTGTTCCAACCCGAATCAGAGGCCTTTATGGAAAACAATATGAGGTAAGGATCAGTGTCTCTCCCCTGTCGTTACAACTTACAAAGGCTAGATATCGCATACCAGGTCGATGCTATTCGTGGTGTTCCTACCATTGCATTGACGGGACTGCCATCGCATGCTGAGAGTAAGTGCATCCTATGTAAGTTTCACGGTCCCCGTTGCATTATATGTTGCAGAACTCATCACACCTGTAAAGACATTTCCTCAGCTTCTATTAAAGACAGAAAACATCATAAATATCAGCTAACTATGTTTGCCTGTCGTTTCACGATCCTAAGGATGCAGCCCCCCAAACCATTACGGATACATACACCTGATTCTAACAAGGTTTGTCCTCTAATAGGTTCCCATATATAAGCCATAATATCTGCAGGCCTTGCTACATACAGCTATTTTGCATCAGTGTCCCGCTAGGGATCCCTGTAAGATTACCCCTAACCAAACTAGCTACTGTTTTCTCAGGGCCATATTTTATTTAATAATAATTAAATAAATCCTACGGTGCTTTATAGTTTTTATCACGTATTAGATTTTGACTTTTGTTGAGTCAACTTAAATAGGTAAACCATGTGTGCACCTATTTAGAAGTTGAAAGAGACTAAAGACGTGCCGCGCGCGCCGCCGCCGAGCGGAGCCGAGCCGTGGCGAGCGCGTTGCGATGCGTGCGTGCACGTGCACGATTACTTTTGCCACTCGGGTCGATTACCGGATGGAGTAACGTACGGAGTCAGAATACGAACCGCAAGATGCGGATCCTTCCCGTAACCTGCGGTTCCGCTCGAACGGAGGAACGGGGTTAGGCGGCGCGGTCGCACGTCGCAGGATCTCCCGTAAGTCGCAGCTATCCGAGCACGGAGATCTGCGGCGCGGCACGGTCCTACCCTCCCGTAACTCGCGTGTGTCCATGGACTTCTGGAACTCCTGTGCTACTTAACTCCAGGCTCCAGCCCGATGCTCTCGCGTACTCAACACAACACATAGGCGCCACCCTCTCTGTCGAGCCACCACCGAGCCTTCCCCG